ATATGGATTAGGGGTAAAAATATTTTTAATTTAATTAGGTAAATTGATGAGACAAAGAGGGAAATAAATTTTTTTTTCTGTTTTGTACGGTTGTTATTATAAAATCAGTCTACAATTTCACTTTCTCCCTTATTCAATTCATTTGTTTTACTGAATGGTGAATTGGTGGTAATTTACAGATTTTTTTTTAAAAAAAAAGTTTTAGATACAATTTGTGGGACAACTTATTATTATTATCATTGGTATTATTGTGTAGTTAAAATGGTTTGCTTTTTGTTCAGTCAACCAAACTAGAGAGGACAGATGGGAAAATTGTCCGATACCACGAGGTAGACTAGAAAAGGGGAATGAATTTACGCCTTGTATCTTTTGTGTATGCCTCTGTGTGTGTGTATGTGTGTGCGTAGAATATAAGTAACTTGGATAAAATAAGTCGATAACAATGAAATTAGTCCACAAACTTTTATAATCGTTCCCGTGAGATATATGACTACTTAGTGTGTGTCTCAAATTTCAGATAATTTCATGTATAATAGATATATACATATATATGTCTACATTAAAATGGAATTTTGCTGGAAAGTTAACAAAACAGAGCAAAATAGAAATTTGGGGAGAAGAAGACATGTGATCTGATTTTCTAACTGACATAATAATTATTAGGTATATTTTGGTTTGTATTGAGTTTCAGTGCGTGAAAAATATAAATTCACTCTTAATTGCATAATAATAATAAGACGCTTTGTCACACTTTACAATAGAAACCTCTTTCTACTTCTAGGTAAACTTACTTACTTACTTACTTACCCTTAGTGCAGCATAGGCCACCGACAAAGGATTCTCTAACTAAATTTGTCCCAGTGTGGTGTGAGCTACTTATAAGTAGTATATGACGTGAGTGTCAACGTAATGTCTGGCAGCAGAAGATGGGGGAAGATCAAGAAAGGAAGAGTGGGGGGAACACAATGGAATTTGTATGAAAAGCATGAATTGTGACAATGGATTGATGTTTTGCAACAGGAACAGTCCAGTTTGATATGATGAACTGATATTTTGCAAATTAACGATTAACGATATGATTTTCCGATTTTACTGAGTAACTCTGTAATTTTCGTTAAATACAATTCGGTTGCCCCACCTGTGTTCTCGTTCACTACACTAGAACTTCTTTTTGAGTTCTATTTAGTTGTTGTTCATTCAGGCTACAATTCCCGTGGTAGTGTGTTCTTTGGTCTCCTACTTTTCCTCTGATCTTGAAGATTTCGAATAACGGATTACCTCGTGATGCAGCTGAGTAATCTCCACAATGTGTGTCACCCCAAGCTCTTATTCCTAATTTATTCCTCAACTACAATCTGGTTTGTTCTCTCACACAATAGGTTGTCAATGATGGTGCCTGGTCAAGGAATCCTCAATATCTCACGTAGACGAAGCTGTTCATAAATATATGTATGTTTTCGTGAATGATTTTCGTATTTTGCTAAGTTTCCACTCCATACAATGGAATTGTGTTGACAGTCGGATTGAAAAGTGTAACTTTGGTGTTCTGTTGACTCTTGTTTAGAGTTTCAAATGATGTTCGATAGTGGAAATGTTACTTTTGTCTTCCTAATCCATATGTTTACATCTACATCAGATCCTCCTTGTTTATGAATGATTCGGTTGAGGTATGCGAATATTTCCACACTTTTTTGAGAGCTTCTTTATCAAATGAGATTTGAATGACGCATAATGAGTTGTATCTGATGATCTTGCTTTCCGTCTTGTGTATGTTGAGATCTACTGCTACACTGGCTGGTTTCTTCTGTGTTTGCTGACGTGTGTCATTTGGAAAGTCTGTGTTTTCCGCCAAGTTCAAATCATCGATCTGCATCCAGGTTGTCCACTGTATTGCGTACTTCTCTTCACGTCTCCATAATTCACCTTAACCATCAGAAGTATGTGGAAATGTGAAAGTAAGCAACCTTGTCTGCTACCGGTCTTCACTTGAACTAAATCTATGTGATGCTCTTAACTCACGACTTCACAGTGTAGTCCATCTAGAGAAAATTGATACAATTTCTAATTATTTGAATAACTATCACTGATGTAAAATGAATAATTTTCTAAAACTTAATGTAATTATTTATTAATTACGATAGGAAGTCTTTTCATACTATGCTTAAAGCGTGATCTTTCTTAGCCTTGTTAATAATCTTGTAACTCAACTCACAAGATGAATGACTTTTGTGAATAGTGATTGAATACCAGCTCGTGATATTGATTTTTCGTCATCATTTATAATGAATTACTTGGTTTTGTGAACTGCGAACTGTGCATAATGGACCGATGAATGTTAGACCACCATTACAAACAGGGTTGAACAACATTTATCACCACTGCTCACTAGAACTCGGCTCGTCCTGTACTATAGGACTCATTAGTGACCTCTGTTGGAGGGTTTCCAACCCTAGAGTGTCCGCGAGCAAGACCGAAGGACTTGGGTTCGACTATTGCATAAAGGGGGTCGTGTATGCGCACTGCTGAAGAGTCCCATGTTAGGACAAAACGGCCGTCCACTGCTTTCAGGTTCATTATTGTAGTCTAACAATGATCGACTCATCACTGCAATGAAACTCAACAATCTCTATAATTCTATGATGAAAATGTTGATTTTATTTGTTTTAACGTGTTATAAAGTATAAATTTACTGTAATTGTTCAACAGTTCAAATTTAATTTTTTTACCCCATTGATACATTTCATAAACGACAGAACAACAATCAAAACAAAGTAGAATAACATGAATTTTGTTTTAATTTGTGATTTCTCATTCATTGTATTCATTCCGAACATAATAATATTATTATTATCATGATTATTAGAAATCAGTTTGTATCACTTTTAATCATGATAATATCAGAAATGTTTTCTCCTCTGTGTGGATTCCAAAAAAATAAACAACGACAGATTTAAGGTCAACAGCAACCAATCAAGATCGGTGTTAACAGAACAATCTGTGGGTCAAACGTGGAGAAATTCGAATAACTTACTGATTCTATTTGAATTTGGTGCTGCGGATTTTGTTGTGCTCAGAAGAAGAACAATGATGAAAGCTTCACAACCAATACATCTAATTAGAAATCATTAATCAATCACTGTTAGACAACCATTAGAAACCGGAAAGCACTGGACGGCCGTTTCGTCCTGGTATGGGACTCACCAGCAGTGCAAATCCACGACTCCTGCTCCTCAATGATTGATTGATGATTTCAAATGTGTAAAAACGCAAACATCCAAAACTCTGCCCCAAAATATCGTAACAGTGCTCACTAGTGACTAGCTTCGTGAGGAAATTCTCGGAGTTCTAGTTGAGAAGACCTGACCAATTGAGTGGATGCGCACTGCTGATGAGTCCCATACTAGGACGAAACGGCCGTCTTTCAGTGCTTCCAGGTTTCTAATGGTGGTCTAACAATGATTGAATAATGATTTCCAATGTGTAAAAACACAAACCTCCAAAACTCTGCCCCACAATACATCCAACTCAAAGAACGAAACGCTAAAACAATCACCTACGTTAGCTACAAATTTTGTCCACCTTAACAAAATATTTGTAGGATAAATAACTTGTAAATTCAAGAAAAAAAAGGTCGATCCTCAAGGTCACGTAATAATAGCAACCTACACTCATGGGATTGTTGATAAGAAAGCATAAGTTTAAGTGAATCCATGTTGCTCAGTTTGATACGTTTGTTATTCTAGTCCAATTGTATATTCGATCTCCATAGGCGGTCAGATAAACTGAAAATAAATGTTAAGTAAATGAAAAGTAGACAGTTTTTGTAAATAATACGGCAAAATAGTTGAGGTATAATAAGTTGTGCTTCATTGACTACGTTAAAGCATTTGTTAGCGTGGATAGGAAAGCACTGTGGAGGCTTCTTCGACACTACGGTGTTCCTGAGAAAATAGTTAACATCATACGGAATTCTTATGATGGATTCAACTGCAAAATCGTACACGATGGTCAGCTAACAGACTCTTTCGAGGTGAAGACCGGTGTCAGGCAAGGTTGCTTACTCTCACCCTTTCTCTTTCTCCTGGATTATGAAGACGTCGACATCAGGAGGGAAGCACGGTATCAACTGGACAGCCAGGATGAAGCTGGACGATCTGGACTTCGCAGATGACCTGGCCCTTCTATCTCACACGCAACAACAAATGCATGAGAAGACGACCAGTGTAGCAGCAGCCTCTGCAGCAGTAGGTCTCAACATACATAAAGGAAAAAGCAAAATTCTCCGATGCAGCACAACATGCACAAACCAAATCACTCATGATGGAAATTCCTTGGAGGACGTTAACACCTTTACATATCTGGGCAGCAACATCAACAATCAAGGTGGATCCGATGCAGATGTGAGGGCGCGAATCGGCAAAGCAAGGGTTGCATTTCTACTGTTGAAAAATATCTGGAACTCCAACCAAATATCAATCAACACCAAAATCAGGATTTTCAATATAAATGTGAAGACAGTTCTACTGTATGAAGTGGAAACCTGGAGAACTACGAAAACCATCATCCAGAATATACAAGTGTTTATTAACAGATGTCTACGCAAAATACTTCGGATTCGTTGGCCTGACACCATCAGCAACGACGTACTGTGGGAGAGAACAAACCAGATCAGGAAGAAGTGGTGGAGTGGATAGGACACACACTACGAAAAACACCTAACTGCATCACGAGACAAGCCCTCACATGGAACCCTCAAGGCAAAAGGAAAAGAGAAAGGCCAAGGAACACATTACACCGTGAAATAGAGAAAGATATGAGAGGAATGAACAAACATTGGACAGAACTGGAGAGGGAAGCCCATGACAGAGTTTGTTGGAGAAAACTGTTGGGCGGCATATGCTCCATTGGGGTTAACAGGCGTAAGTAAGTAAGTAATGATAAGTTGTGGACCATTGAATTGAATTAACTTAAAGTACTCCCTGAAGTCTAGGATCAGTCAGATGCATATTTTGAAGACTACGTTTCATGTAAACGTTCATTATGTAAGTAAAATGGATGGAAAATGTAATGTTAATTTTGTTTTCGGAATCAAAACTGTAGTAATAAAAAATAGCATTATAGTATCTTGTTTAATTCACATTTGTCTAGTTAGAAACCAGTTTATTTGCATCAAATAACAATGAATATCATGTTCACAATTGTTATCGTTGGTGAATTTTAAGCATGTTAGTTTTATACACGATGGGGTCGCCAATCTCATGTTCAATCCAGGCTTGGGACTGCCAGTAACCCTAGAAGGGTTCCGATTAGAGTTAGTATGAGAATGCTGGTTGCTGAACATTAGGCTTAATATATGTTAGTAAGTAATCAAGTAATCATGTCTTCGTGAAAATATTGGTTGTTATAATGAATAAACAGTTTTTATGTAAATGTGTATGATTGGAGGCAATGAAAAAATCTAATGTTGAACTAAACTACTTTAAAAATTTTTAAGTAGCATTGTATATTGAAATAAATTTTTTTTCATTTAAAATTATTTTCAACTTGTATACTAACAAACTTTTATTAAACTTTATCAAATTCTTTATACTTTTCCTTTTCTCCTCAAGGTTTGGTTTCAAAATCGACGTGCAAAATTTCGTAAAACTGAACGTGTTATCCAACCAGATACTACAACAACTACAATAGTTTCAACAACACCAACAACCACACCACCAAATATAAACAATATTGAACAAAACTCTTCAATTTTATTCAATGTTCAACATACATCATCAATGGACAATTCCATGTACAATTCAAAATTACCACCATACATTTCATTAGATAATCAAGAAAATCTTTGTAAATTATTCGACTCTTATAATCATACTGTTGATAAATTTGAAACTCATCAAAATAGAGAAATTCAAATCCCGCCACAATTATCCTCATCACTAGATGATAATAATGATGTTGATGATGATGATGATGATGATGGTGATGACGATGAATTAAAACACTCGAAACAAATCATTGGAACATTGAGAAAAAAATCTGGACAAATTAAATTTCCAAGTGAATTTTATCCACCGCTGAAAGATTCCCTATTTTCAATGATACAAAAATCAAACACTGTTCAACATTCAATAATCCCTAGTAAATCTTATCTAGATTGGACAAGTTACAAAGATCACGATAACAATCATAATGATGATGATGATGATGGTTGTATGAACAGTGGTCTGATGCATCGTACTAATGATAATCTACATCCTTTATATAAACTTACACAAACATGTCGACAAGTGGATCGACTTGTCGTCGGTACAGTACAACATGATGTTACATCAAGTAGTTTTAGTAAAAAATCTTTAGATAAACAACATAAATTTATCAGTAGAAAAAAGTAAAAAAAACGACACTATTGATTTCGTTTTTTTTCTCTGGTTGTTGTTGTATGGTACAGTGGATCTCATCTATTTATTGAGTAATCTTCGTCTTATTATCATTTATTCCAATGTGGCAGAATAAACAAATCGTTTGAAATTTATTCAATATTCAATATCCAATATTTGTTCATTGTTAAAAAATGTCTTCTTTTAAAATTACTTCAAATAATTTATTCATTTAGAAGGTTTTTTATTTCTTCAAAAATAATTATGTTATCTAATTTTTTCTTGATTAATCAGTTCATAAAAATGAATGTTATTACTTATCAATAAAATTCATCATAATACAGAATGGATTTGTAATGATGTTGTAACTATATATTCAAGGATAAGTAGTATGAAAGAATGAAATTAAAGCATTCATCAGTGAGTTTATTGACTGTAATAAATTGATCATTGATTGTTATGTGTTGGCCGATTTACTGCGTGTGTTCTTAAGCTCGGTAATTAACTCGTCTAGACAATCGTTACTAATTAGCGTCTGACGGTTTATAAATCAGAAGGTGAAATTGTAGTGTTGAATATGTTTAATTCTGGACACACCACAAAAGCGAAGCGGAGAAGCAGTGAATAAAATGAATGAAGCGACGTGAACTGGAGAAGGCTAATGAGCCAACTGGCAGAAATAAATCATGACTAAGAATATATAGTCAGACGAAATTAAGACAGTCATGTGACAAGCGAAATAGGCATGAACACATGAATGAAACCGACGAATGATCGACAAGGTCGAAAGCATGCGATACAAGTCATGTGAGCTTATGCAAACCAGACTTATAGTAAGAGCGAAGTCAGTCAGTCAGATGCAACGTAGAACTTCGTACGTAAGTACATCAGTTCATGTTGCCATACTACACGTTAGCACAGAGATATAATTGTCAATTCAAATCCAATAGTAGTAGAGGTAGTAAGGGAATTAGAAGTAATCGGAGAGGTTAGGGTTAGAAGATAGTATTCAAGAAGTGTGATTCAGTGAGAAAAGTTAAGAGAGTCGAAACTAGAGGTGTTGAAGAATCCAGAAGATTAGGATTTGAGAGAATCCAGAAAATAAATGCACCGGCGCCATTGCGAACGATTTTGAGCCATGTCATTCAAGTTCTCTTACCATCGATTATTATCATCTCGCGGACCCCAACCAGGTAGACGACAATTACCGACATGGCTCAGTCCACTAGTCAATGAATTCATGGATTTCTGCCACGTTTTGGTCTGGCCGCCCCTAACTTTCTTCCAGCCCACTCCTACACTAAAAAACAAAGTTCGTCGAGGCAGTCGGTGGTTCGGCATACGCAGCACATGTCCCAACCACCTCAACTGATGAAGTTTCAATACTTCATCGATTGATATGCCATCCTTACCTAGTACTTGTTTCCTAACGACAGCATTGCTTACTCGGTTGTCCCACGGTATACGAGCAATGCTTCGAAGACACCTATGATATAGTAAGAGCGAAAGGTACATATGAGTTATTGCTACGCAAATGGCTTGGTTAAATAAATTAATCGAAATTACTTAACCAAATTAAACGTAAGCAAACTCAAATATGTGCGGAGGCACTACAATTAGATCACTATCGGAAACCTGGAAGCACTGGAATGTCGTTTCCTCTTAGTATGGAACTCATCAACAATGTGGATCCATGATTTCTGCGACCGATAATCGAACCCAGGACTTTTGATCTCACAGGAAAACGGGTAATATCTAGACTACTGAGTTGGTATCCAACGTTAGTAATTTATAAATTAAATCAATCAAACTTACTGTGCAACCTCACTCATTGTCTTCGGTGAGTAAATGCTACACACATCCGACACAAGTGAACTCCACCGGTCATTATTTCTCACTAAAACTCCGAGAATATCATTATGAAGCTAGCCAATACGGAGCTCACTGGTTGATTCATGATTCTCATCAAATTATTCTATCTTATAACTCTATAGTGGAAAATCGATAGAACACCATTAATATCTTCATGGAACTGATGTTCTTTGTAAGACAGAAATCTTTGTCATTAAATGTTTGAATCAAAGTCTTTACAATCATATTAGACAAAATGACATGCTTAGTTAGATAAGTTTATCATGATATTTATAATCTGGATGAAACATTTCTAACTGAATATTGTCAAAGTTACTATTGTAAAACTGTACTACCTCCATCTTTACATTTTCCTATTGGTACTCGAAAAATCAAATCGATGTCATCTGTACACCATTTTATCAGACTCAACTATGAAGAAAACTGTTGGGGATGTTAGATCCTCAGAACTCGCTTGTTAAATATCTTCATTTTGGTTTTATTTCATGGGACGATCAGTTGACTTTGAGATCATATTTCCCACCAGGAAAATCCTTGATTATGATTGGTTACTGTGTCATTTTAGTATGCCGATTTTATGACTGTTCCAAGGACGTCTCTATGGAGTATAAATAAACGCAATTTGAGTGCTTGGATTCATTGTGTGCTGGCTGGGTGTTTGTAGAATACAATGTCTGCGCTATATCCAGAATTCTCGCTGATACAATTCGGTCAAGGGATCACAGTAACCTACCTGGACGCTGGTTCATTGTTTTGTTATCGTTATTCGACTAAGGTAAACTCGTAATAGTTTAGGCATATCTAGAGACGAGCATAACAAAAACATTGTTTTACAGTCATGAAATTCATTTAATTTATTGACTTAAACTAAGCGGTCGTTCAAGGTATCAATAAATTCTTAACATTCAACAAATTGTCATTACTGATTGATCTTGTTACCGGCAGTGGATATTTTAAAGGCATTTAGAAAATACTATCATAAAGCTAGAAGATGTGAGTTTGAATTCCACCTGGGAGAATCACTTCCATTCAAAGTGAAAAGTCAACTTGTTAAAATACTCTTTAAACCGTATAATATATATAGCTGTCTTGTACAAATAGATTACATTAATCGTTTAAATATTGATATTTAATGATGATGTTCAGTTGAATGTTTGTCGAATATCATAATCATAAAATAACTCTTCCCGGAGCCCCTCTGTGACTACAGCTAGTTCCACGTTCGGATATAGGAAGAAGTTTGGGAATGGGGCTGGCAACCCCATCCCTGTAGAAAAGTAAATCGCTAAAAAACTGCCTTGGAAGTTGGAAGATCTTCATTTACAAGAGTTGTGATGTCTCATGATGAAATTTGAGTTTATTTGGAAGTCAAGAGGTCGATGCCTCTTCTAACAACCAGATCGGCCATTATATTGGATACATAGTATGTTCTTAAAATGTGAGAGGCTGGAAAATTCATCCAAGTTGCTGACAAAGAAAAAGAGGGAGACCAATGAACACATTACGTTCACGTTCATTACGAAAATTGTGACTTTGTTGACGAATGATAGTTGTTTTAGGTTGCAAATGTTTCTCATTAGTGGAAATGCTTCTTGTCCTTGTAAGATCCATTTTTGAATGTTCCATTTGTGAAAATCCCTCCGTGTATACATTTGTAATTATTCGTTCTTATTGAATCCTTCAGTTGTACATTTTGTTAGCCTGTTCCATTCCATTTTTGAAATGATAATATTTGTATTTTATTTTGGTTTCTATTTTTTATGCCTTTTCTGAGTTTCTATGTTTCTTTCTAAACTGCATTATGTTGTTTAAGCCGATACTTAGATATGGGGACAGCCATACTGATTTGTTCCTCTGTTGGTTGGAGCGGTTGCACTGACTGGAATTGCGCATTCTGATTGTGAATCGGAGCACTCTTTAAGAATTGGATACACTGTGTTATCTAGCAACCGAATATCATCGATCGAATGAATTTCATCTATCCAGGAGGGATAGAATAGCTTTTAAATGCAATAATAATTTGAATAAGTAAACTATCATCGGAGGAATAACGTGGTAATGATGTATATTTATATTTATGATTAATAATAGAACTGTTATTTACCTAAAAATCTTATTTTGCATTTCAGTTGAGCAAGACGCGTGTCAAAACTTCTTTGAGAGTTATTCCTCAACCCAAATCTGAGTTTGGATCTTACATCCTTGTTTTGTCAGTCGATTTCTCTTGTCTGCAACAGATTCACCTTACTTATCAATATGATTCTGCTTACGTATGTAAAGGTTTTCACATATTGCAGAGTTTCTCTGTAAAGTTTAATTTGGTTGATGCATAGTGTGTTAAATTGGTTGATCTTGCTTTTCCCTTAAATATGTTGAGACCTACTTTTGCAGAGGCTGCTGATACACCTGTCGTCTTCTCCTGCATTTATTGTTGTTCGTGGGATATAAGGGCTAAATCATTTTCAAACTTCAAATAGTCTACATGCTCCCAATCGGTCTATTGTATCTCATGTTTCTTCTAAAATTTTGACATTCCTATAATCCTGTTGACCACCGGAAGAAAGAGGAAGAGTGTGAGTAATTAACCTTGTTCTTCATCTGTTTTCAATTGGAACAAGTTTGTGAGCTATCCTCCAGGAAAGATTTTTCAGTTTAATCCATCATGAGAATTCCTTATTATGTTGACTATCTTCTCATCCACAACTTAGTGTCGAAGAAGCCTCCACGGTGTTATCCTGTCCACACTGTCCATTACTTTCTCGTAGTCAGTGGATTTGATGGAGAGTGGTAAGATTCATTCAATTGATTGTTCCACAGTGATCCGTTATGTGGCTATTTAGTCGGTAGACGATTGATCCATACGGAATCCAGCCATTTACAATGCCTTAAATATTCACAGATATATTGAAATTTTCTATACTCTGCTATTATTAAGTGACCAAAAACGAATTACATGGGAGGTAAAATTTAACAGATATTTTCTTCAACAAGTTTCAAGTACAATACAGTAATCTAAAACAATATATTGATCGCCTCGAAGGATGATTATTCATCTTACGTTAAATATGCATATGGACTATCTCAAACGTTTTCATAATTTTATGCGAATTTTTAAGAACACTATGTATGTCTGGTTAGAGTAT